CGTTTATAATCGGGGCCGTTCGAACACATAAAGCATACGTTAGAGTTAGAAAACTGGCACACAGAGAGCCTCCAGAGAGAAAAGAGTTCCAACTCGCGCTCTCCTCTAAGTGTTGCTTATTAGACCTGTTTTTTATTTTTTTTCGCTTGATTTTTTCTGTGCGCCGTTTTTTGCGCCATCGCTCTCCGGTGCTCGCGCATCGATTTTAACTATCGCAAACAGCAAGAAAGTACAAGATAATGCGGTGGAGAAAACAGACACCTCTCTCTGCTGTTACAGACGATCCATCTCTCTCTCTCGCCGGGAATAAATCTCGAACTGAATTTATGATTCCCGCGCGTTATCTCGCGTCTTCCTTATTATTATTTCGGCGATTACAGCGATCGAGAGAGAGAGAGAGAGAGAGAGCGAGCGGCTCGTCCGTGTAAAAGAGATTAGAGAAACCGTTGGCGTGAAAAAAAACGGAGCGGAGAAGCGAGTCGAAGTGATAAAACCACACGACGGCTCTCGACGACAACTTCCACTTCGGCGAACATTCGGGAAAAATGTCGACCGGCATTAAACGCGGCAGTCGCGGTGCCGCGCGTGTGTCGCCGCGCCTTTCGCGGTCGCAAAAAAAAAAAGAAAAAAACCGCGCGTGTAACCGTCGCGCTAATTGTCGCGACGGCATCGCGACGAGACGCTCTCGAGTTACAGGTTCGCACGCAAGTGTGTGTCTGTTCACAAGCGTGTGCCAGTTTTTGATATGCCTACGAAGCGCGACCTTGAAAAATGCGAGCAATGTCAATGAAACGCAATACTTGCCTTCCTTCGTTACGTCTTTTCTTCAGCCGGCGCTGATTTTTTTGCGGTTTAGCTAGCGCCGCGTCGACGTGTAGCTTCCGTGACAACAATATGTGACGTCATTTTGAAACGCGACGAGTCGATAAATCGACTTGGACTCGCGACACACTGTGTGTGTGTGTGTGTATGTGTATATACACCGATAGGATGTAATACCGTGCGGTAATACACGAAACGTTAATACCGAACACGTGCTGCTCGCTCGAGAGAGGATAATTTTCTGCATAGACGGCACTGATAAGCGCATAAATAGGTCGTATGTGAAAGAACTTCGTTGTGTTTCGTTTTGCTCTCGTCTCGCAAGTGACTTAACCCACGTTCCACGAAATGCCGAGCCTCAAATTTAAATCGCGGTATCCGTTTACGTACAAATGTTCGCGTCTACGCGCGCACAAATCCGTTCGCGTTTGTTTTTTATTATTAACAAGATAAATTTAACATTTTAAATAAAATATTAAGTAGCAATAATGTGTAAGTAATTTTTTCTTACACTTTCGTATCGAGCGTGTAAATTTGCACGTAATCTTTGTATTTACAAGATAAATAATGCTTTAACAAAATTATTCGATCGATTAATTGAAATGCAAAAATAATCAGCGCGTTACGCGCACGTGTGTGCTTCTAAATACATAATTACAATATCTCTCTCTTGACCTGTGAGATAAAAATTTCATATAAACATTTTGCGTGTGTGTGCGTCGGAGAAAATAGCGGAATTTGCTGAAAAGTGCGAAGTTACATCTCGCCGAATTGAATATACAGCGAATGAGTCGCATTTTTTTTTTTTTTTTTTTTTACGCGCGCGCGACCTTTGACCCGGCGTTTGTCACAAAAGAACGTGTTCGCATCACGGTTCAAAGCGTACATATATATATATATATTTCTCTCGTCCACGTTGTAAATGTTATATTCGTGTCACGCGCATAACATGCAATTCAAACAAAGCTTCTATTTCGCGTTGCAATTTGCGCGCTTGTATAATACATTTATGAATCATTTACTGCGTCACAACATCACCTATGTTGCATAATACAGGATCACGTGTCGCGTAATAACGAAGAGTAGTTCGGAGTAAGCCGCGTGTATAAAAATATAATTCCAGAAAAGAGAGAGAGAGAAGATATAAACGTTCGATACAATTTTATAATAAAAATCGTATAATACGCGCAAATTGTGTTGCGCAATTGTGCCGGATTACTCAACTGCAGCTACGTAATATAAAATTAATATTGATAAATACGCGCATACGTATGACTGATCGTTAGAATATAATTTACATCGCGTTTCCTACTCTCCTTCCACATTTTCGAGCAATTAAATCGGATATATTTCTCTCTCTCTCTCTCTCTCTCTTTCCAAATTATCAACGTCAATCGAAAATCACATCGCAGATATTTGTGTGCGCGCGTGTGAGAAGTAGACATTTAAAATATTTAAATTGCTTCAATTTTAACCGTAGACATTTTAGCACGACGCTCAAACAAATCTCGCGTGCAGAAGAATCGATCGCGTTCTCTCTTATTAAAGGGAGAGAAGTCCTCCCAGACCGCGCATCCGACATACAATCGTTAATTCGCGTTATCTTTATAATACACTCTAAGCACGTGGTCGACCCGAATGCCGTCGTTCTAAGCAAAATGAGATTCTCGTCGGCATCACGACGACACGATCAAAGTGGGATAAGAAAGTCACGTCAAGGATTTTACGTTATATCATCGACCTTCGAGAGAAACGAATCGAATGTCTGAAATCGTAGCCGATCGCTTCGAAAAAAATCGTTAACTATGTAGATCTTGTGATTACGCATACGGTTTTATACGTATGTATATATATATATATATACACGTCGAGAATAAATTTATGCCCGCGAATCTCATCATCGGATAAAAACAGGAAATCGTTTATTCCGCGCGCGGAATCTCCAATTGTGCATTAAGAGTGCAAAAATACGACGCAATTCTGAAATTCTCAAATTGGAACAATCGTTTTTGTGAGAAGCTGAAAGAAAAGTAGAAACACGGTGGAGTGATTGCGAAGAAAATTCCGGTGTGACGCGTTCAAGAGTTATATACAACGTGCATGTACGTTATTACGCGACATAAGAGACACGCGAAGATTGATGCGACTTTTTTTCACTGTTACGCGATTATCTTGTCTCACTGCTTACTTGTGTATTATAAGCGGTATAGTCCGAGACGCGGATAAATGGGAATAATATTCGATAATAATACACGAGGAAAAACCTCGATATTCTAGGTTTTTTTCCTTTTGTTTTTGTTGTTTGTTTGTTTGTTTTTTTTTTTTTTTTTTGATTGTATACGGCGCTTTCGCGAGATAAGCGCTTTTGCTCTATCCAATAGAAATTTAAGAGCATTTAAAATCGTTTGCTAACATATTAATACTACTGTGTAACGGTAATCATAATTGCATCGGATCAGGTTGTACATGTGCAATGTGGTTATCGATTAATTAACAATTGCGCACTGACACGTCCTCATCAAATATACAGACTTGAAATGGAGAAATGAATTGTGTACGATCACTCGTATACTATTTTATTACTCGATACACATAGCTTTGACCAAATTGCATGACTAATGCAAATAATGCAAGTTAATTATCATTATTATTAATAACGGTTAATATTACGTACAGAGAGTATTTCGATCTCTCTTTCTCATTCTCTGTGAGATAATGCAATATTTCTAATAAATTTTCTCTTTATCAAAATATAATATTTGATTAATTCTTTTTAATTAAACATTACGTGTAAATTTAAATGCGAAAAGAAAACTACATATTTATTAATATATAAATTTATTTTGAATATATTTCAAATGAGAAATATACTTTAAATATATTTTATCTTTTAAAAAAAATATGTGATATAAATAACATTACTTTTTCTATATGCACAATTTTTTTTAATACACGTACACCTAATTTGCGTGACGTGATCGCGTGAATAACCGCGAAGGAAAATATTACGAGAGGCTTATACTCACTCTAGAGATGCGCAAGGGATGATGTGTGTCGCACCCGCCGTGCATGCGGAAACCCCATGGGGATCCACCGAAGAGGGTGATTTCTCTGGCGCTCATCCCGCGTTGCTGGGATCCCTCGGATTGTCAACATGCACAATTGCGTTTTACAATGCGACGACTCGAGCGGGCCTCGAGTAACCGGGCATCGTGGATCGTCGAAACGAAAGGCGAGAGCCGCCCGTGTCACTCGCGAATCGTTGATTCTTCCGCGCGACTTCTCGCGGGCCAACGGGGTGTTGAAAAAACGGGGTAGGTTAAAATCACGCGCCGACCGACGCTACGACCGACACAGGTCGCGATTACGCCTCCCCCTGACGCGAAACCGCGACGGTCAAATCGCACGCGACACACACCCGTCCGTGGCTCGTATTCAACTGACAGCGCGCGTCCTCCCCTCCCCCACGCCGCCCTTACGCCGCGCACGCACGTAGTAATGCGCGCGTACAACGCACCTCCCATCCCCTCGTGTCGTGGGATGTAACCCCCTCGCGTTCGCATTTTCTCTCCCTCGGAATCTTTTTTTTTTCTTTTCGCCGAACATTTTTATCTGACTCCGAACGCAAGTAAACGTCTGAGTGTGTATTTTTGTTTTTTGCTGCAAATTTATAAAACAAAAAAAAACTTAGTACATATTTAGTTATATTTATAAAATATAACTAAATATAAAAAAAATAGATAAAAGATTTTTCGAAAAGTTTCTTACCTCTTTCATTGCCAAAGTTTTTGGCGGATTATTTTTACAACGACACTTTTGAAAGGGAGGCGCAAAATCTACATTTCTGAATAAATCCGATCTTTATATATTTTCTTACTCTTTTATAACCACCACGCACTTATCTACATAATTACACTCTACGCTTCATTGTTGTCTTTTTCTTCGTCACAAACGCGTTATTATTCAACGCGGAACACTATCGCGCACGATTCTTTGCGAAAAGAAATGTGACCCCCGTATCTGTCATAATTCAACTTCTCATTTTTCAAGAAAATTGCTCTCCCACTTGTCAACTTCGCACATGCGCACAGTAAATCCCAACACACGACGCATTGCGCGCGCTAGATCTTTACCACGGAATAGGAATAAAGGAGAAAGGTGAAATATGGAGGAGAGTGATGACCGGTCTCGGAGTTGAATTATTGGGAGATCCGGATGTCTATAAAATAATTTCAAGTTTATATTGACAGATGGCGCCCAACGGTCCGAACCAGACTAAACATGGCAGGCTTTTCTCTTTGACACACGTGTATCAACGTATTCCACGAACGTATACGTGAATGTGAACACAAATGTGTAACTTGTGATATACATTTGTACTACAACTGAACATAATCGCAAAAAAGTGTATTCAAAGATAATAAAATATTAGTGCGTTCTAGTTTAACAGATATATCAGTATATCACAATCATATTTGACATAATAAATTTATATATTAAAATATATACAAAATTATACATAATGGCAGATAACAATGCAGCTGCGAGTAAATATTCTGCCAGACAAACATTTCGAAATAAGAGAAAAAATTGGAAAGGTAAGTAAGTTTGCGCTTATTTTTCCTCTTTTTCTTTCTCTCTATTTAAAGTTTGGCATTAAAAAAATTTTTCTCTTGTTAAGATGGTTGGCAAAGGAACAACGACCAAAGGGGATTTAAACGCAAATTTGAGCAATCGAAGGTAGGATATGTGAAAAAAAAGAATCTGGATATCGGCAATAGACTAAAAGAATTCGACATAGGAATTACAGAATACATTGGCAAGCACAATGGTTTTTCTGCGATAATCAAAGAAAGATACACCGATTTTCATGTTAACGAGATAGATCTTGATGAGCAAGTAGCCAAATTGACTCATCAAAATATCCCATGCGAGCCTGAAAATGATGAAAATATCGACGATCTAAAAGCATCGATATCGTCAGAAATATGGGACAAACTGCAAGCTTTGAAGGAAGAAAATTTTTCAAGTTTGGAGATTGACGTGACGAATCTCGACAAGGAGAAAAGAAAAATTATTCACACAATTGCGAAGAAATTAGCAAGTGTCATTAGTCAAACAATGGACAAAGATGATAAGAAATTTATTACAATTATGTCCAGTACTAAATGTAAGTAATGAATAAATGTAAAATATGATGAAGATAGCAAACTATAAACTTCATTGCAAAGCAATGTATTTTACTTGTATATATATTTATTTATGTTATTCATGTAGTTTTTGATTTTTATCTATTTTATCCAGGTCAAATGCGCAAGGACACCAGAATAGATTGGAAAAGACGCAGTGGTGAATATTGTTACTTTTTATTGCACAAAGTAAATATGGATACGATGGACGCCTTGAATCAACTGGCTGTCAATTTGCGAATACGACCGGACAATTTTAATTACGCCGGTACGAAAGATCGCCGAGCATGGACAACCCAGTGGGTGAGCTTGAGAAAGATAGATCCACGTGACATATTAAGAGTGGGTAAAAGTATACGCGGAGCTTACGTAGGAAATTTTAAATATGCTAAAGATAGCCTGAAATTAGGCATGCTGCGTGGCAATCAATTTAGAATAGCACTGAGAAATGTTTGCGGAACTGACGAAGAGATTGAACACGCTATGACTTCGCTGCGTGACAATGGCTTTCTGAATTACTACGGTTTACAAAGATTTGGCACAATAGCTTCCATACCTACGTATGAGATTGGTAAACGTCTACTTCAAGGTAATTGATCCTTGTTTGATTTTGTAGACTAATTGCATGTATATAAACGTCGTTTTGTACACACACACACACACACGCGCGTTTTGTTTCTCTCAAAACAGGTAAATGGCACGAAGCAATTGAATTAATTCTCAAACCACGTCCGGGAGAACAAGATAAAGAATTAACGGAAGCTAGACAGATTTATGCTGAAACTAAAGACGCTCGTGCCGCTTACGCCAAGATCAAGAGAGTCGACAAGATTGAAGCTAGACTTTTGAAAGGTTTACAAATATCGGGCGAGAAAAATCCTTTAGGCGCGCTCGACTCTGTTCCTCGAAACATTCGACTGATGTATATCCATTCTTATCAAAGTTACATATGGAATCACATCGTGTCGAGAAGAATAAAACAATTCGGAACAAATGTGATAATAGGCGATTTAGTTTATGACAAACAAAATTGTCAGGACAATGAAATTGACGAAAGCACAGATGCGATTAACGAGACCGCAGATTATTCCGCGAGTAATAGTGACGACAAAAGCGAGACTGACGCTACGGAAGAGAAGAATATTGATACGGCGACGAATAAAGTGAGCGAAGAAAATATGGATCAAGATTTCCCAGTGGTGAAAATTCTTACGGAAGAGGATTTACCAAATTACACTTTGACCGACGTAGTCATGCCCCTGCCTGGATGGAAAGTTACATACCCACCGTACGCTAAGGCTTGGTATGACGAATATTTAACCAAAGATGGATTAACTACTGATCTTAAACAAAAAAATAAGTAAGTATATCTATCTGCCAAAGCAACAACATGTGTGTGACATGTGCTACATATAAATTTTTCTTGTTTTCTTTTTAAAGGAAATACAGTTTGAATGGTGTCTATAGAAAAATATTGGAAATTCCAACAAATCTGTCTTGGAAAATTATGCATCATAAAGAAAAACACGATAATCTCATTTTACCAGACATTGACAAAATGAGGAAGCACTCATCTCCACAGGACGAACCTGGTAAAAACCTCTAATATATTTCCATATTATTCAAAAATTATTCATTTATGTAACTTATATCTGCTATTTTAGGTGGAAAATACAAAGCACTTATCATAGAAATGTGTTTAAAGTCCAGTTCTTACGCTACCATGGCTTTGCGTGAGATTTTGAAGAATGACACTTCAGCGGAAACGCAAGCTGCTTTATCCGCTTCTCATGATGCAGAAAATTCACAACTTACTGTAAATGCCGAAGATGAACATGGTCGAGAGTTGATAGATAAAGATACAGGTAATATTGACAAAAGTAATGTCAAAATCTGTGAAGAACTTACCGATGTAAACAAAGACGAAACGATGAAAATAGAAGAAGAAAGCATCTCTAAGATATGACAAAATGAAATGTAAATCATTTTTATAAAAGCAATAAAACTGTTTATGCCAATATATGCATGTGTTTCTGTATGAAAGTCAAAATTAACACGTTACATATTGGAAGAGTCTCTGTGTAATTGATCAAAATTAATTTATTAAAAAAGTATGATGTAACGGCTGTTTTACAGACAAGCAGCCATTAAACCAGCCACATTTTCAAAATCAATCTTTTCAGTAATATTTTTAGTCTTAATGTTCTCATCTTGATTAGCAATGAAGATGATTGATTTGCTGTCTTCCTTCCAACCATATTTTTTTACCCAGTGTTTAAGTGTGGCATCTGCAACAAGATTGCTTATAAGAGAAGCATTACACAAGAAATGTGAATTTTTTTGTCAAAATATAAATTTGTCTTTGTATACCATCTACACCACCAAGCAATTGTGCCAGCAGTCCTTTTTCTATAGTTTGAAATGTAATGCCTACTACATGACAAACAAACTTTCTTATCGAATCCTGGAAACCTACAATCCTGTCGCATAGTTCGGACATGGACAAGACTCTGTCCCAAAAATGTTGGAAATCACATCGTTCCAAGATATCTCCCATATACATGATTTGATTAATAGGACTTTCAGACATCTATAAAAATTGATTGAGTCTAAATGCATTTGTCAAGAAGACACTGTAACTTAATACGTAAAGAGTACTCACAAGTTTTTCACTGAGCAAACATTTGCACAGAACAAAGTCGGTATGTGGAAGATTAGTTAGAGCTTTCAACAATATCTGACATGTGATATCCATGTTGAATCGATGAGGATTAAACTGATAAAGCTTCAAAACAGCTAAATTTGCTTCCAAATCGTACGCATTCTCTCTGGATTGTATTTCCACATACTTTTCTAAAGTTGTGAGGTTATCTGGATTGTATCTGGTAGAATACATATATTTTAATCACTTGTAAATAAATAATATATTCAATTAACGATGTAAATACAAAGATAAACTTGTAAAACTCAAATTTAACTTCTGCTTTGACACATTTTTCGAGAAATATTTTACGCAGATTTTGGAAAAAAATACTTACGGCATAAAAGTCTAAGAAACATAACAACACAATACCTTTCGATGCCTTTCAGCATTCCGGCCACAGTTTGACGCATTGCCTCAGCCATTTTTTGTATTTAATTTGTAAAAACTTTCAAATATGTAACAAATTATTGTTGGCTAAGTGAGAAACGTGTTCACAATAACTTTGACAATTTATATAGATAGAATCCAAGTCGCGCTACGCATGCTTCGAAGCAGTATTCATAATTATTCTAGTGCAGCTTGGTGCCGTCTCAGTGCAGTCGAAGAAGAACAGACCTTTGCTCCCGTGCACCAGCTGTTCTTTCTCTTTCTTTCCAAAAAGATAATTGATAAAGGATTATCTTTCTTTTCGAATGGACGAAGTGTAACATAAGTTCAGGGGAATAAGGAACGAACTACCGATAAAAGAGTTCCTTTTCGTTTCGATTGTTCGTCGCCATTATTGAAAATCTATAGTTCACACGACGTCAATTATAGATTTTCACCACTGACATTGAATATCGCGAAATAATGGCTTTGTTATATCAAATATAGAGCTCGATGGCGCGACACGAATATTTCTCAATGTTTCTTCAGAAACAACGAATATAAATTCTATTGCTCGTCGACATCAGATATCAAGAATCTTTTTAGTAACACTAGAAAAAAAAAATGTCCAACCATTTTGACGCCGACTATATTCTCGTCCCCGACAATCAGCTGACTTCCGGTATTAATGCGAGGCGTTAGATATTAGTAAAGTGTTTCAACAGTTTCGTTTGACGGGGAAATTTATTTTTTTCACAAGACGTGAAACGAATCTTTCTCTTGCATAAGAGTATATTGCGGTTTTTTGATTCGTCGTTCAGTTTAGTTCCGGCCGGAACAAAATTTTTATGTAAATTTTCGTCTAACCGCACGACTTAGAGCGCGACTCAACGAAACACATTTTTCAAAGCTACTTTGCTAATTGTATCCCCCATTATTCGACTCTCAACGAGTAAATTTCTGTCGTGACTCATGGTAAGCGCGTCAATAATTTGGCGGTTTAAATTTGATCAGAAAATTTTTATATGACGAATAAATTTTTTCTTCGTTCAGAAAAATTAACTTTGTCTCGACATTTAGCGCGTATTTTTATTTTTTTAGGATGCTATATAACGCCGTTATCTCTGGTTTTATCATCGAAAGTAATATGAATTCGAAAGAGAACGATGGGAGTAATCAGGATAAAGGTGAGGTAAAGGTTGACCTTGCTTTGAAGAATGATAATCAGTCTTTGGATAATCAGGATGCTGTGACATCCAAAATACAATTAGAGAACAAAGCTACGGAACACTTGAGGCTGAATAACAACAGCAATGAGAGTAACATGAAGCTTGTATTACCATCCAAGACTGCTGTCATGCTTTCCAATGGAACCAAATCTGTTCAATCTCCCACATCTGATTGTGCCAATTCCATAGAACAGAATGTTTCTCAAGTTGCATCCAACATATCTTCTGTATTTACAAACACCACCAATATTAAACCTCAGACTGTGAACACTAATTCTGTGTGTCAATTGAAGCATAAGACTGTCATAAATGCAAGTTCATTGAATCTGCCCAAGTCTCAAATGCACTTGAATTTGTCGTTTACCCAACCAAACACATATTTTAATCACAACTTAGTGTCGGCCGCACTCAATTCTACCGCAGCTAATTCTACCGGTGCTAAGTTATATTCAAGTATATCTCCATTAAATGCATCCTCAATTCCTCCTAATTTACCAACAAGTAAACCAAATGATGACATTGATATGAAGAACAATGTGGATTATGCATCTGTAATAGAAAAGTGTCCTCCTAAAGTTTCTTGCAGTTCAGATTCTAGTCCGGAAGCTGACTGTTCTTGGATAACAAAATCTTGTGGATCTAAACGTGTATTGAATAATATAGGTGGTAGTATAGGTTCAACAAGTCAGGGAACTTGTTGTTTTTTAAGACCTAATATAAATGGCAGCAGAGAAGCTGCTGGACCCAGTGGATTACAGAGGGTGAGATTCTATAATAAAATTTTTAACATTGCATACTGTAAGTATGTAAGTACAGTACATATTGTAAAATGCATATGAACACACTGGTGTGCATGTGTGTGTGTGTGTGTGTGTCTATGTGTACTCAAAGTGCAAATTTTATGTTTAGCCTTTACAGAGAGAAGTAGAACGAATGGATTCTAGTTCCGGAAACGAAGGAGATATGTCTGATGGAGAAGACTATTGCATCTATACTTATAAGGGAAATGGTGATGTAAGTCATTTGGATCAACAACACGAACTGAATCAAGGCCATGCGGAAAATCATGAAGCGGAAGGACAGAATCACAGTGGCAGATCGAGTCCTGAGATGGATTTTCTGGAAATGGATTTTGATCCTGGTCCTTCTTGCGAACAGGTAAGATTATTTGTCATGTGAGATAAAATCAAAATTGCAATTTATTTTTTTGTTTTTTACAGGATACTGGAGACAGTGATTTAGCCTCTATAAATGAAGACATACAAAATATAGTATTAGATAATACAGAACCAGATCCAGTATTAAACGATTTAAGCAGTGGAAAAGTTGTATCCAGACAAGGATTAGTGACTATGCCACAAACTTCAAAGCAAAGTGCACAGAATGTTAATCACACTACTTTCCAACCATGCACAAGTAATCAGCCTGCACTAGAGCAGAGTGCAAAGTCAACTTATTCTACTACATGGATGCCTAATACCAGTACCGGAACCGGTATGATAATATTATGACTATTTCAATATTTAGATTTTAATTTTATATATATATATATATATATATATGTATATCATTGTGAACCTACATTACATTAAGTAAAATTTACAGGAAGATGGGACAGTGCAACGTTATATCGTAATACAGGTTGTCCGTTACGAGAATCGTACAGTTATCACAATACAAGTGGTGATCTCATTTCACCTGGTGATAACAGAGATTCAGATTCTGAATTGTGGGCTGAACCCTCGACAGCGTCTGCCTCAGACAATTCCAATTTAAATGCTAGGAGAGTTAATCTCAGTTCCACGCTTTACCATCGAATGATGGCTAAGAAGTTAATGCTCAATAAGCAAGCTGCATTTAATCAAAGTGGTGATTCTAATCTGGTTAATATACATATATATATATACACTATCCAAACTAACAGAGTAAACAAAATATGCCATTATAATTTAATTTTTTGCACAATATTAATACAGGAAAGTGAACTGTGTAATGAAAGATTAGATGGATTATCGCCAGTTGAAAAGGTAATGTTATGGACTGAGCAAGAAGCCACGGTAAAACAAATAACGCAAATTGGTACATCTGCTTGTGGTGCTACATCCGCGATTAATGCTTTGGTAAATTACAATAAATCATTTAATATGTAGAAATATATAGTATTGCATAAGTGAATTTCTTCTTTAACACAGGAAATTTGGTTTGTGCACTCGTGTATATACGTATATGTATACACATATCGTGTATATATATATATATGTATACATACATATTATTTTAGTTGGCCTTAAATATATCATTTTCCTTGGAAGTATTAGTCAAGGGTGTGAATACAAGGTTGAGAGAATTAGGTGTACCACTACCAAGATATCTTGTCAGTCGATCATTAGCAGGCGCAACTCACAAAGATATAGCACGAGGAATATCTCTCTCTACTAATGGCGCAGCTATAACAAAGTTCTTTGCATTTTATCCAGAAAGAAAAGTGTCGCTGTCTCACTGGTTGCATTATTGGATTTCTAAAGGTAAGAGTTCATGGATATATATTTCAGATTTAAAAATATAAACATCAAAATATATGTGTAATCAATATAAAAAAAAATGTGTGTATGCGAGTATGAAATATTTTGTTTTGACAGGTGCTGCACCAATTGCAACATTGAATTTGCAACATTGTGGAGAAGGATACGATATACCAGATGCGTGGCATCATCAAATGATATTCGGTGTGGGACAGGCTGGCATATATCTAACAAATCCCTTGGAATGTTTATCCGAACAGGTTTGTACAATCAACGAATTGAGACATGCATTACGTGTATTTGCTAAAAAATCCAAATTTTCTTATGATGTAATTTCAGCTTGTGTGGCATCAGTTGGTCAGTCCTAGTATTCTGTTGATACGAAGAGCGGATGTTCTCGCACATTGGAACGCGAATACAGACTTAACGCCACTTGCTAAAATGGATCAAAAGTGGCGAAAACTTAATGTTCTTGGTAAGTTGTTTTATGTGCTATTTTTTATTGCAATAAATATTTTAATATGTTCTCGTCGTGAAATAGGACAAGTTGTAAATATGGTACGCGAGGAAATGAGTCAGAGGCAACAACCTAATAGCACAACCACCGGCGCGACTCACATTCGTATTCCAGCGTCTTACCAAGCAGGCATTACATTGGTCATGTGTGCGGATTCTGCCGCAGCTACCGAATTGTTACATGCGGAACAACTACCACTACTCTAGTCTTACTGATCAAAAATCAATAAACACACACTGGACTGGCCCATTTGATTTACAATAAATTTTATTAGCAGAGATTAAATCTGCACAAATGTTCTTACTCATAGTTCGTTTAACTATGTAAACTAACATGATAATAATTTACATTTTTGACACAAAACACGTTTGTATTCAAAGAGAATATTATTGATTAAAATATATTTCAATAGAATATTTCTGTTTTATACACAGTTATATTCATTGATCATATTGAGCTAGAAAAACGAAAGTTTAATTTTTATCGCGAGTAGCAGTCGTATGCTGCTAGTTGTACGTTGTATGTTTTAGACAAAGAACAGCTGACAGTTTTATTTGTAACAACAAGTAGGAAGTTGTACACAAATTTATTAAAAAGAGTTAACAAGCGTGCGACACGGGTTAAAGATACTGAGATATTTTAACATTTGTTTCTTTCCAAACGATTATATGATGCAGATTTAACGTGATACTGCGACTCACGGTTAATCGATAGAAAACGACCGAATTAAGAGATGCGGCAGCGTCTTATAAACATATATTCTTTTTAATTACATCATGAGAAAGCACAGATGTTTAATACATATTTTTTTTTATTACAAAACCTACAATTAGTGATACACTGTATACTTTCTTTATTGTTTATTGTCTTTGTAAATCTACCGTACAAAAGTTTCAGTCTCTCAGTGCACTCTGTTTTGCTTTCAGCAAATTCTGTCATCTTACGATTATATTTCTGCGAATGTTCCTCAGTTTTGTATTTCTTTCGACTGTGTATTTGTGAGTTCTTCTGAGAGAAAATTCGGACAATCTTTCAGAAACATGGGATAAGACCCTTTATCATTTAATCGCAACAGTTTGTTTCTGAAATAATAATTTTGTCAACATTTATTGTTTGTTGTTTATATTAACGCGATGATGATATTTGTACCTTATATAACAATCGGGATGAAGTCGTTCCGGTAATTCTCGATCCAATCGTTTTGCGATGTTTAATATATCCTTGGCTCTGACATTGCCTTGAGCACCAAAAAATGTTTCTACACTCCCGGACGATTTTAACAAGGAAATAATGGTTTCTCTCGAATAAATGCAATAAGCAACGACGCACATCAATAGCACGGAAGGTTTTTGAAAAGTTATCAGATGGTCCCACAGAATCAGCCATTCGTTTCCGGATAATACCTCGCTCAATGTGGTTCGAAGTAACGGCCACGCGTACACGCTGGTTGCGATACCGTGCTTGCAAAACGTATTTAATAGCGCGGGATCAGCTTCCAGAAGAATGTTCTCGATAATTCCCAAAATATTTAACGGTGGTAAAGGATGATATTCGAACCAATTGTAGCAATAGTTTAGCAATATACACAATATCAACTCGAAACCGAGCAAAGGGTCTTTCTGAAAGAAATAATTTATATCTTGATATGTTTTTTTTTTGTGAAAAAAAAAGATACATCTGTTGTAAACAAGAGATTGTACCTGAAATACAATGAGAAACGGAAAAATTAAATTCGGAAGAAACGAAGCGTGCATCAGCGTAGGGCACCAATGCGCTAAACAATCCATTGTAGCGATTAGCAATGACCTCTTGCTTCTGTCCGCCAAAGGATAACTTTTTAAACTATTTAACATAAATCTGTTGCGTATTGCTTTATTTACCAAAGCGACATATGCGTTTTTATTCGACGGTAGTTTTAAAATAGTGGACCAAATGAGTACGCGATATTTCTTCGGGTACTCGCCGAATTCCTTTAAAATAGCCATCAATCGCTTGATGTTCAACTCTCGCTTCGTTCTTTGTCTGATGAACTCTAAGTGATCGCTTGTCTTGTGCGCGCACAAGACCTTACGTGGCTCTGACGATTTTCTCGACTCGCGATATTTTCTCGAAACAATTTCGCGGGTGCGTGTTACGTTCAAACATCCTTGCAAATTTATGTGCGCTATGTATTTGCCGGCAAACGAAACCAGAACCTTTTTAATTCCATCGACGGAACGAGATGTCTCGAGAAAGCTCGACGCATTTATGTTACAAAAGTGAAGAACGCATTTGCGAGATAAAACCCCGACAATTTCGGCAATTTCTTTGTCATCATTCAGTGAACACGGAATGGCGCATAATTGCTTCGCCGTAAAATTTTTAGGCAAACGTATTCTCTTTAGTAAGTGCCAAGTGCACGTACTCACGACGCTAATGTTTTCTCTATCGACTGTTATCACGGCTTTTCCGTCTCTTGTGAAAATAAAATCTACGATAAGACGCATCCCTAGTATCTTTGCATCGATCTTAATGTCTTTGTCCAACTGTCCGAACGTCCAAGTTTGTACGGTATCGTTGTGATACAGTACAACAATGTGTCCCGCGTTAGAAAACGCGGCTTTCTTAATTACGGCGTTCTTCGCGTCGACTTTAAGTTGATAAGCTTTGCCGTAGGACGGCAGGTGCCATATTATCGCCTCGTTTCGAGAGCTCGTCAGGCACCACTCGTTCTTGTAAAAAGAAACACGAGTCGGCGTCAGCTTGTGACCGGGCAGTAAAATAAATTTATCGACAGCCGTGTGAAGTTTCCAAATCTTTATGTTTCCGCTATCGAGTCCCATTAATAATTCGCCCTTGTACGCGGGATTGAACGCCACGAAAGTAGCCTGACCGATTTTGACCGATCGTTTGTAACATGGTGTATCATCGGACAAGTCGATGCAATGCAAGTATCCTTTCGCGTCTATTGCGATCATGAGTTCCTCGTCGTGATCAAAAGCCATCTGCGTGAAACTCGGTGCGGCCGTGCAGTCTTTTCTGACACAGGCTCTGAGTTCATATTTGTAGCCGGCGTCACGTTTAGTTAATTTAATCCATTCGTTGTTGCGCATAGTAACCACACGCAATTGTGAGTTGATAAATAAAAGTTGACACGTTGAATTAATCGCTCAATACAGACCGCATTCCAATATGTACACATTTGCTGTTGATACAGCAGAAAATCTATAAAATTGTAGAATCAAAACAAACGGCGATGCGCGAGCAAAAGAAAGATGTTAACGTATTAAATTTCTCCGATGTATCGCAAAGTTACTCTCTGCACTCGTTGAAGTCTTCTTCGGTGGTTAAGTTACAGAGCTAAAAATTAAGACACACAACATAAACTCGCGTTAAATCAGAAATTGAAACGAAACACAGTTAACTTCAAAGATAAATTACGGAAACAGGTACATACCCCGTTAAAAGTTACAAAAAATAAAATCGTTATGCATCACACGGGCCATAGATCAAATGTCATGTTGTTAAATGTCATGTCGTTTGATTAACACCATTCTTTTGCTCATAATGACCATTGTTTATTTTAATTCTATCAACAAGCATTTGCCACCGATTTGTTTGGAAATTATGGAGTTTCAATAGCAGCAGTGAACACATCAAAATACCGTCAAAATACAAACGTAACAAGATGTTTGGCATTATCTACTGTCAATAGACATTTCTACGAGACCGCTAGGCTGCGCCACGGTATAATATATAGAAAAAATTTATTTTTAAATAATACAAGCTCTGGAGTCAATATCTTAAAAAATCCACACAATATTCAAATATATAAAATTGAACTCAGACATATCAAAAAGAAAAAAAACCAACATGTCGAAAGAAAATCGAGTATATAAAATATCGGTTTAAAAAATTTTTGTTAGAGATTTTGAACCAATGACGTTCGGCAGAAGAATTGCTGAGTTGTTTTCTCATTCGACGCTGATTTTTGATTCCGAAAGGAAGAACCAATCACGTTAAATTGCTACAAAGCAGCTGAACGCAGCAAATTTCTGAATGACATGACGTCATGAATGCGTGATGCAACTGATGCAAGTGTAAGTCACACGTACCACGACAATTGACCACGGTGATCGCGTGGTGTGCGGTACACGCGTGTTTCCTTCCAGGTATATGAATACTTTTCATTTATAAATGAGAAATATAATGATAATTTGAAGCATGCCTTTACCAATTTGGGCAAAAATTGGAATTGGATGGTAGGTGGAAGAAACGTTATATCCCAAGTCTCATTTTTGTATTCCCTACAATCCAACGTTAACCTTAAAAATCGAAAAACGACTGACGACATCTAATTTAAGCGGATAGGGACATTAATAGATTTAATCTTAAAATTGCCTGTATTTACATATTTTACTTGCGAAACAACTTTAAAGAGTTTATATATTTTTTTATTTTAGGTCTGTGGCTACTTTTATGGGAATTTACGGATTTGTGTTAACAAAAAGAAGTGTAAATACTAATAGATATGAGTTAATGAAAGCCAGACAACGTGTGCGTGAAACTAACGTTGTAGAGTAATTTATTTGTTGCAAAAAATAGAAAAGAGGCTAAGCCGAGAAAGAAAATTTATAAAAAAAAAATATATATATATATATTGTAAAGACAAATTTCGTGAGGTGTATAATTTGAAGAATGGCGACGTTACCACAACTGGACGAAGAAAAGCTCAAATTGGTGCAGGAGTTGGAAATAGAAATGATGTCGGATATGTATAATCGCATGACATCCGCATGTCACAGAAAGTGTATAGCACCAAAATACTCCGAGGCCGAACTTGGCAAAGGAGAATCCATATGTTTGGATCGTTGTATTGCTAAATATTTAGACGTTCACGAACGTATTGGCAAAAAACTTACGCAAATATCAATGCAGGAAGCAAAAATTACGGAGCAACCAAAGACAAATTGACTTTGTTCAAACTAGTTACATTTGACGTAAGATTTTTGTGTTATAGAAGTTTGTAACGCTGACTTTTCTTTTGGCTGAATGTACAGTTTTGAAAACAAAGTAGTTTGTACAAAGTAGAGAAATAATGAGCAAAATAAAACCTGTATTTGATTCTTTTTACGAATAAAAAAAAAAAAAAAAGATCTTTATAAAGATGTTACGAAATTTTTAATTTGTTGTCACGAATCTTTAGTTTTTTCTCTCATGTTTAGCTTTATTATGAGAATTGGAACTCTCACTTTTATTTATATCAAAGAAATCCTATTTCTTTGATTATGCAAAAGTATAGATAAATATTTTAATAGGAAAAAAAAAGGTTTTGTACGAGTCTGCGCACATTTATTTAAGATATATACGCGAATGTGTATCGTGAATTATAAATGCAGAAGTATATTACTTGAATACACTGTTTTAGACTTGATTGTTTTTTTTTTTTTATTGATTATATATTAAAAATATAATTTTTTTTGTCTCCAAAGTATTTATTTGCGCATACTTTCAGACACAAACCTCAAATTTACAAGAAATATATAATCAGCTGTAATATTTTTTAAGAACTCAATTGTAAGGTGTGAACAGAAATCTATAATGATGCAAAAAAGTGCAACTATATAAGAATGGTATTAAATTTAATACACAAATTTAATAAATATGGGCTTTTCAACAAAATGAAGATCTTGATAAACAGGGTCTTTTAGCGCATACCCGAGTACTGTTTTCTGGCAATGATAAACAAAAAAAAGTTGTAATAATAATCTTCTTTTGTCCGACTTTGTATCACACACACACAATAGTCTCGAAAAACGTAACATTTTCATATTAACCAGCAGTTTTATCTTTCACCGGACGAGTCGTTGCCAGAGCCAAGGTGTGCTGACCACCACCGCTAACTCGTACCACTGTTTTACCTTCCAACTGTTTTCCTTTAACTAATACCGGCTCCTCGACGTCTTCCGTATCTCCTGTTCCAAGATTTCCATTAGTTCCCATACCCCAAGAACATAGTTCACCTGTTGGATAAGAAACGTTACAAGATAGACTATACAGAACGTATAATAATAAAAATTCATATCATATTAGATGATATATAGCGCGCACCTGATTCTGTAACTGCAAAAGATTCTCTACTACCCGCTCCTACATCGACACACTTGATGGAACTTAGAGACGGAACTTTTGTGAGTTCCTCCGCGTCTGAGCAATAGGGTCCGAGTCCGAGGCGACCGTATTCTTTGCGACCCAACACAAAAACTTGTCCTTCGTCGTCCAGTGCTATAGTGTGATGTTCTCCGCTGCTTATATGTCGCCATACTCTGCCGCTAAAGGTTTTCGACATTTGTGGGTGAAAATGTGTGTCTTTAATTTTTAAACCTGGAAATTCCCAATGGGGACATGTGAGAAAACAAATGCGCGATGTGAAATGATGAGAATAAATGGATGTCTGTCTTACCAATTTGACTGAAATTATTCAGACCAAACACATACACGTCTCCTTTTTGATGCTCTTTGGCGAATGTGCAAAAATTTCCCGCCCATATGTTATCAAAATGAAGCTTTTTACTAATTTTAAATTCAACTACGCCTGGAGTCAGTAATGGACCTATGCCTTGCCGTGTGTTTCTACTGGCTGTTCTTGCGGGTAATCGTCCCAGTTGTCCTTGTTCACCGCGTCCGCAGGTGTATACATGTCCATGTTCGCTAAGTAATACTAAATGATCGCTACCTGATGCTATTTTGACTACTTTTACATCGGGTAAAATTTCTACAGGAAATCGCTCGTTTCCTTTTAACGTAAGTCCCATAGAACCGTGTGTATCCTGATTTATAAAAATTAAAAAATTTATTGCGTTAATTCAAATTTCATCTCCGTTAATGATAAATAGTTTTATAAACAAAGCGAGAAAATAATATTTCAATTGATAAGACGTACTCTAAATGTACCCCATGCAAAGACTCTTCCATCTTCCAACAACGCGGCGCTATGGGAATCTCCCGCAGTCACCTGAATAGCTTTACCAGGTAATTCGACTCTGTCTGGTACTGTTTCTGAACCTTCCTTGGTAGTGTCACGACCGAGTGCTCCCTCATCATTACAACCAAATGTCAATACTTCTCCTGTCTGTCTCAAACATATATTGTGCATAGCGCCAGCTGATATGGCTATAACATCTTGATATTCGGATATAGCTGCAGGTCGCATTTTTTCAGTAACGTCTTCTCCGAGACCGAGTTGTCCGAAATCTCCTTGTCCAAACACAAGCATAACGCCACCGGTTGAAAGTGATCGCAAGTTAGGTTTCACCGTTAATTCTGCAAGACAAATTTGCACAAAATATTGTTACGCGACATAAATTCATTTTTTTTTTTTATATCTTTTCATCTTTATGTTAAACAAATTTGCAGTTTCATATCTGTGCTCCGTACACATACAGAGAGCACATTTTGCATACGGAAACGATCACATCGCGGTTATGTAGGTTATCAATATCGAGCTGCGACGTAACGTTTGAAAAATGAAAATTCCTCGATTGAGCGAAAATATATTAATATTTACCTGGTTTTTTTTTAATCTGCTTCGGTGCCTTATTCGCCTTTGTGGGTTCCTCCGCGGGTCGCTTCGCTGTTTTTCTTGGCGGCACTGCAACATTTACAATAGGTTATGTTTGCGAATTTGTTCGTAAATTGTTTATTATGACAGTCATGTAAGACTCGGCGAGTGATTTTAACGTTATCGCTCATACGCGCACTTACTTTTGTTATTTCTTTTCGTGAATTTTCTTGAATCGCGCGTGTACAACGCTTCTTGCCTCGTTGGCGCCAAAAGTTGCGGTGCTTCTCTAATGTAGCGCAACTCACACCACAAAACACCACGGTCAACTGTCAAGACCGGTTTTCACCGGCGCTGTGTAACGGCTGATCCAATTATTTTGAAGTTTGAAGTTTGATTCTTATTGAATGCCAACCAAACGGGTTTTTTTTCCCGCGCACAAATAAAAAAATACATTAAGACTCACGCGCGATGAAAAAAAAAACCAGCCAATCCGCAACAGGAGCTGACTAGCAGAAAATAAAATTTGGTTGTTCCATCTCCCATATTGCGTTTCATGCGCGTCGTGCCAAAAAGCGTCGGAACGCACACGACCGATTACCCGCCAAACGCGCGCGCCAATTTACTTTATTCTGCGCGTGCGCGGTCACAGTGCGGCAACCATTCGGTTAAGCTGTACGCGTTACGTACGCGAGACGAACATTTCAGTTTGTTTATTCGATTTTTTTTATTATACGGAGGAACAATCGTGTGTCGGAGAGAAGAAGACCAGATAGATGCAATATGTCTCGCATATTCAAGCGGCGTGTGTCGAACGTGTGATTTTGTAAGTTTCAATTAGTTCAAAGTTACTCTCTCTACGCGCGTCTCTTTTTTTCCATCAATTTTTCTTCGATCATCAAAAATAAATAGAGATATATAAATTTGACAAATAAAGTTCATCACATTTTACAGACGTGTTCAAGCAAAATTGATCTTTTATAGATACGTTTAAGGGAAATTGATCTTAAATCGCAAATTTGATAAAATTCTCCGAGTGTTTTCACGTACGGCGCAAGAAAAAAGTTTGTGCTCGTGAAAACGTTATGGCGGCGCGCCATAACGCGAGCACGCGCGCGCGCGCGACTCTAATATTTCACAACTTCTGGCGGTAAATTAATAAACAAAGAAGAACGTAGTATTCGCAAATGTTACGACGGAGTTCATAAATCCGCGGGGGCGTTAAGAAAGTTTTGGATTCTGCGGCTTAATATCTCGGATAGTTTGCCAGACTAACATCACATTTTCTGGCGTACGGAACTTTAATATCGCGGCGGGGATGGTATTATAACAATTTTTTAAGATAACATTTCTCTATCTCTCTCTCTTTTCGCTTGTTGTGTCGTACATAGTAGAAAAAAGTAATTAATGAGACGAGACCGCGTTCGGCAAATAATCATGTCAAACACAACGCGATTGTGTGCGTTGTGCTAAAACGCACGCGATATGTAACGCAAATCTTATTAGTCGCACGTGTATTTATTTGTATTATTTTTGTACACTTTAGTATTTTTTATTTACCATTTGTTTATACAATAATTATCCCTTTTCGTTAAACTTGTTTTGCATAGTTGCGTATACAACTTTTCTAAAATCACATTTTCTCTCATAATTTTCAGACAAGTGTGTTTCGGAGCGGACTGAAAGACGGATCACGTGTGATAACGCAAATAATACAACGTATAATAATAACGTATGTATGTAATGGACATTTGGCGAGCGCGATTCGCTCGCCGTGTAAAACGTGAATTAGCAGACGAGCAGCAGCAGGCGATGACCGCAGGGGGGTGGGGAGGGGTTCGATGATACACGGCGGGGAGAGAGAGAGAGAGAGAGCAACGGGCGCGTGCGGAAGGGTGCAACGGGTGCCGGCCGGTTATCAGAGGGGTCGAATACGCGGAAGCGCGCCAGTCGGCGGCGAGACTTCGCCCGCGCAGCTTTCTCTCTTTGTTTCTCTCTCGTCATCCTGCCGCCTGCTGACTGTTCGTTGTGAAACACAAACGTCACAATCCACGCGTGAAAAATCGAATATCGCGTTTTTTTTTTTCTAGCTTGAACGCAAATTTGCAACAATAATCGAGGGAGAACGGAGGAGAGAGAGAGAGGTCCACGTGTTAAAAAAATCATCTCTGAAGAAACACGCGCGACGCCGTCGTCAATCGCGAGAGTGACAGCACACACGACGGGAGACGAGATCTTCGGCTTCGAGGGAACTGGAGAACGTTTGATGTAGGAGTTTTGCCGAGGAACTATGACGAGGACGACACACCGATTTTTCCTGCTACTGCTGGTGCTGCGGACGCTGATAGGGGGTGAGTTCAATTTTTTATTTGTCAACGCTCTTCTCCGTTTTTTTGGAGAACGCGTTTGGAGAACGCGTTTGGAAACGCGTTCATATATAGAGTATATTATTGTAGTCGTTTATCCGAGAGAGAGGTAAACGAGATTCTGTGTCTCACGTGTAACAGAGATAACAAATTGTCCGTGTCAGATAGTTGACAAAATACGTGTTAAACAAATACGTGACTTGTTTTTACACATACATCTCGATGTGTACATCCTCGCGATATGCGTCGCGCGTTGTGAGTCGATGTTGTAATTTTTTTTTTTTTTTTTTTACGAAGCGTTATCCGTATGTAATACGCGTTATCGAAATCACGCGTGTAAAAGTACAAATAAAATTGCATATTACGCGAGTGCAAATTCACTGTATATTGTACATAAAATGTTATATTTTATCGGCTACGTGCAAAGTTTAATTAAAAAAAAAAAAAAAAAAAAAAAACACGTGACACGCGTATAAATTTTTTTATCCGATTGACGAAACGTACATATCGTAGTGAAGTAACAAATTTAACTCTCGTCACAATTTACAAAAAAAAAAATATATATATATAACATCCCGCGTTTCACAATCAAGCGAATAAATGACGCGCGAACGTTATCTCTGTTCAAGTCTGCGTTCTTTGCTCGACGATTTCTCGTGCGACTTGTTGAGCCATCGGCGGAAGCGCGCGCGCCGCCGAACTCTCTCTCGCGCGAGAGAGACCGAGAAATTGTGTGTAGAGAGCAACGAAAGTGGATTGATTTTCTTGCGTATTCGGACGTTTTCTCAATCAGGCGGAGTGGTTTTTCGCGGATGTCGCGACGCTTGCTATCGGCGTCGCCGCGCGTGTGCTTTTTTTTAAGAACTACAATATACGGAAAAGTCGTTTTTTTGAGCGAATGGCACGTACGCTCGTACGCTATGTGCGCATCTCGTCTCCCGATTTCGTCGCGATCCACCGAAGTTGTCGCGAGAATAAAATCGGAACGGAGCGCGTTATATTAAAATCGTTCAGCGTGGATTCTAATTTTCGGAAGTTCGCGAGATTGTGTCGCGTAGTTTTTACACCTTCACGTTACTAAAATCGAAACAAACTTCGCGCGTTCGATCGTAAAGAAAAAGCATTTCCCGATAGATATGAGATTCTCCTTACGCGGCTGCGCTGTGTATAAGCGAGTACGTTCTAATGAAATAATAATACACCGTGACGTGAAGACACGAGCGCGTCACAAAACATCGGAATATTGACTTCATTATTTTCCACGAAGATATACAGTTTGTTTCGTTGATGTCCCCGTGAAGAAAAGATAACACGCGTATTCGCGTCTGAAAAGTCGATCGTGCGAAATTTGCGTTGTCTCAAAAAAAAAAAATCTCATTGTCGGAATCAATTTGCAAGAAGTTTGACGAAAACGATTGTTTTTGTTTTTTTTTTTGTTTTCAAAATCGTCTCACGCGCGCGCGAATTAAATACGTATTTTTTTTCGCTCTTAATGTGTTTCTCGACCGAGCGCGGGTAAACATTTTTATTTACCTTCCACTTCGGCACGCGCTTCAAAAGCGTTTTAAGTTCTTCGTTTGCGAGGCGAAGAATATGAGGTTCGCGTTCGGGTGTCCATCTCGCGTAACACACGCTTGCTATACGTTTCGCGCAAAGGCGGAAACGGCAGCCGAAACAAAACGTGAGGAAAAAAGCCGCCGTTAACCCAGTTTCTTCGCTATCAATCATCACACGGTATTCCGCGCCGCTGTACACCAGCCGCTGATAGAATTTTCTGATGGAAATTGGAGAAAGATAGCCGGCCTCTCTATCTCTCTTTTTCCTCGCTGTGTGGTTGGAATTATTACCAAAAATACTACATTTCGCGATCTTAAAAGTATAAAACTGGTTTCAGAAACTGCAGCTTCCTTCTCTTTTTTTTTTTCTTTCTTTTTTACAACGAGTTCTGTGCGATGGCGTAGCGGATTTTGTCATTATTTTTGCAACGCTCCTCTGTGTTACACATCTGTGTGTTTTATTTTTTAACATTCGATCTGTGTGAAATATCACTCGACGTGCGCGCGGAGATGCAACTTCGGAAAACTCGGCGACGATCCGACGACGATGTGAGAAAAATCGCGAAAATATCTATACGCGATCGATAATCTGTTCGGTTCAATTTTTGCCGCGCCGCGTCGAATCTCAAATTACGCGAAGAACGTCTCTTCTCTCATTTGAAATTGCGGAATTATTCAACGAACCTACCTACCCGTCGTATACGGGTTTTGTCCCGCAAAGTTCGATGATCAAAGAAGGACAAAAATTCGCAGGATACGCACACACACACATCCGACGAACGGGTTACATATATACACGCGATACGCGCTTGGTACGTTCTCTCGCAATCAGGGCGCGGAATAAAAGGTTTGAAGCGAAAAGCCGTTGTGAAACGTTCCCTACTGGAACAAAAAATATAGGTGACCTGGTTTTCCCGTTATCAATCATCGGCCGGACATTCGGAGCCGATCAAGGCGGGGTAACCACCGATGGAAGATCTGTTCGATAGCGAATCGCGTCACGTATTTCGCGACTCGTAAAGACATTTCCTCTTGAAATGCGATGATCTTTTTTTTTTTTTTTTGTTTGTTCGAGAAAAAGCGCAGTTTTCGCTCGTACGTTTGTCTCTCGAAAAGTTACACTCGCGCGATCCATTACAATCAAACCACCTCTCTCTCTCTCATTCTCTTTCGCGAGATATCGTTAGATTGCATGCGACGCGAACGATCGCGAATAAAACTAGTTTAATTTACGCGAGAAAACGCATTAAAAAAAAAAAAAGAAAAAAAAAACAGACGACGGTGCGCATTTTGTGTCTGACTGCTCTGCGAAATGTGCTCAAGGCTTTGATACGCTATTTGTAACCGAAATAACACTTGTATCGCGGCGAAAATTCTACGTCGATAGGGAAATCGCATCACGTCTACCGGAGCGCATTATTTGTCGCCTACCAAATCGCAGCATCCGCCACGTCGCGGCGTGTTGTCTGCGCCCGGCAATATTTGTTGATTTTCTGCAAGTAGAAAGCGATTGATAGCGGCAACATTGATTCGGCTCTGAATTTTATCTTGTTTTTGTTTTTGTTTTTTTTTTTTTACGCGCGCTTATCGGATTGTTTATACGATTTGCATCCAAATGTATCAATAAGCAAAATCATGATTCCGGATTTATCTCTAATGGAGAACACACATATATAGATATGATATATTTTATGCGGTCTTTATTAAATACAGAGATAACGTTATATGAAACACTAACACACAAATTTGCATTTCAGTTAATTGTTAATAAACCCTTTGAATCTCATATCATCGATGTCTATTATATTTTCTATTGTTTGTTTTTCTATTATTATATGTGAGTTGCTTGGAACACATAATTAAAATGCAATCGCATATTAGTAATCTATATTTCATCGATATACACATATACCAATTTATGATCGTATTTTAATTGTGTTCCAAGCAATAATAGAAAAAAACAAAAAACAAACAATAGAAAATAGACAGACATCAATGTATTTGAAACTCAAAAGATTTATTTAACAATTAACTACATTACGATTTATGTTAGTATCTCATAACGTGTATGTGTGTGTATATACGTCGACGAAATATAAATTACTAATTTATGATTATATATGTATATATATATATATATATATATAATTTTGACTAAATATAAATTATTTTATAAATGTATTACATGTGATGAGGGCAAAAAAGGTCATAGTAGACGTAAGAGGGTTGTGTGAACGCTTTATATAATTCTTCTCGAAAAGAGATTTAGAACATATAGCGCGTGTCTAAAATCACAAAATATTTTATGCAATCTGTGAAATAAAGAATGGTAATTAGTATCCACGCAGTTGTCACATCGCGTTGTCTTCTGCCAAGAGTGACAATCGACACCGTATAACTGTATTGTTATTGTTACGCGATACCCGTCATCGGAATAATGCGAAAAAACGTGCGATGTTCGGAAACGAAAACGATGCCTTTTTTTTTTTATTGCATGACATTTAATAAAGAGCCCCGATAATGCCCCGTTAATATTCGTCATCGCGCGGCAAAAAAAAAATATATCCATCCGTCGACATGCATTCGTGACACGCTCGACGCGCGAGGGGAGCGAATTCGCGATTTGCGAGATTTTCGCCGGGGAGGGTGGCGTGACATCGATGGTTTTCTGATTGACGAGCGGGCGCGGCGCGCATATCAAAAACAGTATTAATTAGCCGTCGAATCGCCGTTGATTTCCGACAAAGCGCTCGCTGTGCCGACGCGGTTATAACGCGGCTATTCGCCGAGCGGCTGTGTTTATCAATTAGCGACGGTGCACATGGTCGCATCCGGGTTATGCATCCGAACAAAAAAAAGTCTGGACCAATCGCGGTAATATCGCGATTATCGATCGCGCCGTGCGCGATTCTCAATTCTGACTCGTTGAATTACGCGAGCCATCAAAAAGTTCTCGTTTTTGCGTTTCTGAATTCTGCATTGTGTATTACATACTAACGAATCACATGCAATTCATCGAACGCGACCAGTTAATTGTCCAACTTTGCACACAAGGTATATAGTCTCACGAAATAACAATCAGGGGAAGAGAAGAAAAAAACAAAAAAAACAAAAAGAGTAACTCGGACTGTTGCGTTTAATTGCCATCGAGTGGTAAGTGGGAGAGGGAAAGGGGCACTTCGCGGCTTAGGACGATTGTATATATTTAAAGATCGAATTTCTTTATCTCTCTTTCTCTTTCGAGAGGACTTCTCGCGATTTGTACTCTGGAAAGGAAGAAATCTTCTTCGGACGGGAGAAAAAGAGAAAGGATCTTGCTCTCTCTCTCTCTCTCTCTCTCGCCGAGAAGGAACGCGGCGATCAGTTATTCCCACCTCGAGGATTCGCTGAATATGCATGAAACAATCGCGTATCTCATGCAATTAGCCG